GGTCCACGTGGTGGACGCAGCGAATCCGCCAGACCCCGCGTGTCCAGCTGGCGAACGCAATGCTTCCATGGAGACGGGGGGAGTGGGGATGAGTAGGGGGGAAGGTGTGAGGGAGAGGGAGAGGGGGGATGGACAAGCTAGGTGCGCTCGCGTCAGATCTGACATCCTATCACTCCCTCCCATCTCCTCCCACTGCGCTGATGTTGTTTTTATCCGCGGACGCGTGTCATAGCCAACCTGGAACTCCACAGAATACCCAATTGTGTTATGCACAGTCGGAGATGGGAAACTTGTGGGACCTGTGGGGCCTGGGGGACCTCTGTGGCCTGTGGGGCCTGTGAGACCTGTGACCTCTGTGGGACTTGTGGGACCTGCGGGACCTGTGGGACCTGCTAGACCTGCGAGACCTTTGGAACCTGTGGCACTGGCGGGACCTGTGCGACCTGTGGGGCATGGGGGACCTCTGTGAGACCTGTGAGACATGCGACACCTCTGGGATCTGTGGGACCTGCGGGACCTGTCGGACCTGTGGGACTTGTGGGGCATACGAGACCTGCGACATCTGTGGGACCTTTGGGAACCTGTCAGACTTGTGGTGCCTGTGGAACCTGTGGGACGACCTGCGAATCCTATGGGTCCTGCGGGACATGCGGGACCCGCGAGACCTGTGAGACCTGCGAAACCTGCGGGATCCGGAAAAGTGGCCCACACTGGGGCGGGAGAGCCATTCTGAACGACGGGAGCACAGCGCCAATTCCAATATGAGGCCCACGCTGCTGCGAGAGCACCATTGTTGAAAAATTGATAGCACTCGGAATGTACAACAAACATGTGAACAACCACAATTCGGCCCAATCCTGTGGACAACATCCAGACGCGAAGGGGGGCGGAGGATCTTCTGGACAGGGCGATGGGAGAGAGGGGAGTAGTATTTATTTTGTGTAAGTGTGCAGGGGAATGGTGAGGGCGGGGGGGATGAGTCGATGACCACCAGTCAGCGCTCCTGGCCGCCTGTATCCAATGCAGGTCGTTTAGCTTCTTATGCTCGCGCTGGAGGGGAATGTGATTGGGATGGAGGTGGAGGGAATGGAGAGGGGAGAGGGGGAGGATGCGGGAGGGGTGGTGGGATCGGAGGTAGAGGTAGAGGAATATTGGAAGAGGGAGGGTGGAAAGAGAGGGGGATGGGGTGAAGGAGCAGAAAGAGGGGGAGGAAAAAGGATCAAGGGGGAATAATGGAAGGAATGGGGAGGGGACATGGGAGGAGACGAAGGTTGACGGGGAGATGGAAAGGGATGGAGGCGGTAGATAGGGATGAACAGGGGGATAGTGAGGGGGACTGGCAGATGGAGAGGGAGAGGGAAAGGGAGGGAGAGGGGGGAGGGGGGAGGGGCTCAAGGGTGGAGGTGGGATCCATGAAGCACAGCATGCCTAGCGTCAAACGGGAAACGTGTTTGAATAAGCACCCGCGCATCTGGAGGAGGACCTTGAGCTCGCCGACGAGGCGTCTGGTGCACACTAGGAAGCGGATGCGGCGTGAGCCCACAGAATTTGTATATTGTTCCGCAATCTCTGCATCACCTTCGACACGCCAGCGTTGGAAGACTCTCCAGGTCCTCTGTCGAAGGGCGCCACGTCCTTTTTGAGGAGCTTGCTAGGGCAACCAGGCTGAGGGCACGAGATCGTGGGCACCTTCCCATCCGACGTCTTCTTGGCCTTGTCAATCTCTTGTTGTATCCACACTTTGAAGCAATCCTCGGGATGGCTGGAATGAAGTGGAGGACAGGGTCTCAGACACGGACAACTATAACCCCATCCCCTTGCCAGGAATGCGTCGGGGGAATTAAAGGCGATGCGAAAGATCGAGGTGCTAGATGAGGGGAGCGTGCTGGGAAAGACGGGGTTTAGCAAGTCGGCGGGTTCTAGAGTCCAGATGAAGGACGGTACCTTGCGTCTTGAGGAAGGGGACTTTTTCGAGAGGAGCGAGAGTGGTGAAGGCACGGGGTGGAGGAGAGTAATTAGGGTGACAGCGTCTGCGCGCAAGTTCCATCCACCATTGTGTATCAGTCGGGGGACGCGAGGCACAGTATGAGCACGAGGGCCAGCGTGGACCCCGAGCTTTGAGCTGTTGCAATCTGGACTTGCAAGCTCTGTGGCTTCAGCTCTGCGGTGCGCGGGGCGCCCACGGGCGGCGACCGGGCCAACTCCTTGCAGACCCCGCCAACGGACGAGGCGCCCACGGGCGGCGACGGGGCAAAAGCCTGGAGGCCCAGGCCAGCGGCAGGGCGCCACCGGACGGCGACCGGGCGAACACCGCAGCGACCGGGGCGCCCACGGGTGGCGACCGAAGGGGAGCCAGGAAGCCCATGCAGTGAAGACCAGGGAAGTCGGAAGGAAGAACTCCTGTTTACGTTACGTTGGCGAAACGGAGCACTACGATTGCGAGCTGGTCGTTATTCCTCTTCTTCCTCGTTGTTCTCCTCGCTATCCTCCACTGCCTTCCTCCGCAGGCGCCATGAAGCTGAGACACAGGGCACCGCTACGCAGTAACTCAAAGCCTCCCTCTCCACTCCTTCCTCTTCCCTGATCCACTACCTCCCTCCCACTCCACGTACCTCGTTCTCTTGATCCTCCTCCTCCACGCCTTCCTCCGCCTCCACCCCTTCCTCCACCACCACCACAATCCCAACCAGGATCTCCACCACCACCATCCTCCTCCTCCTTATCCTCCTCCTCCTCCTCACCACCACCACCACCATCATCATCATCATCATCATCGTCGTCGTCGTCATCATCATCACCAGAACCACCATCATCATCATCATCATCATCATCAGCATCATCATCATCATCATCATCATCATCATCATCATCATCATCATCATCATCATCATCATCATCATCATCATCATCATCACCATCACCATCACCATCACCATCATCATCATCATCATCATCATCATCATCATCATCATCATCATCATCATTATCCTTTTCGTCCTCATCCTCATCCTCCTCATCATCCTCATCCTTATCCTCATCCTCATCTTCATCCTCATCCTCAT